CCTGGCGAATCCTACTGATAAGCGGCATTCTTGTGGTGAGAGGTCCACAGGCTCATCTTGCCGACTTCTGGCCCCCCCCCCTGCACACTTCGTGCGATGCGCTGCGTCCAGCAAGTGTTCAGGGCCATTCTGCCTCAAGAACTCTCGAGCTGTGCTGGCTCAACACGGTGATTAGATTCACTGCTTTGAGCAGGGACCCACTATCGGCCACGATCTGATGGAGGCCGCCCGCACCTTCCTCGTTGGAGTCTGCAGACCCAGCTGTGAAGGGTCCGTCCAGCACTCCTGCAGCCATGAGGGCCGCAGCAGCAACGCGTGCAACGGCCCCGGACAACGCCTTCAAATGGCAGGCAGCACTCAGGTTGCCTGCTTGATGCCACGGGTGAGTTCCGCAAGGGCGCACACGCATGCGCTTGCTGGTGCCAAGGGGTGCCTGTGAGCATGCCTGCACGTATTACGTGTTGCAGCTTGCGAGCTGATGTGTGCTGATAAGTGGCGTTCTTATTCTGCCAACGCCTTCACATTTTTTGAGTCCTTTTCCGAATCTCCAACCATTTAACGCTTCGGTCTGCCTCGACCCACTCAGACATGTATGGCCGGTTTTGCATTGCCAGGTGCAGGTTCAAGCAGGGCGCACCTTTGATCCAAATTCGTGCAAGACACATGCATGTTCAGACACAGGCTAAGGCAGGCTATTCGCTTGGAATGTTTCGCAGAGACCTAACTGCCAGTAGCCAAGAGTAGAACCCTGGTGCCGCGCTTAAGTGCAGTTGCCCCAGGCTGCCTGCTGGGCCTTGGCTTGCACAGTGTGCTGCCAGATGCCACCTATACCGATACTGGCCTCTTTCTTGCCTCTCACAAATGGCCATCCTCGAGCGCAAGTTGCCAAGCTGATTTAAGCTGCGTAATGTCATGTGATGTCTTGAGCTCAAGCCCTGGCCATCTACCCCAAAGCTTACGTCCTGCAAGTATCTCGGCCCACTTCCGTATTGGGTAGCCAGGTAGCAGGTAAGACTTTGATCTTTGATCATCATACCGCCACTCAAACTCAAAACTGTGTTCAACCAGAGTTGATGACCAAGCCATCTCCGGCCTGTCCTCTGTACGGGCGGTGCGCGCGGTGCGCGCGGCGCACGAGATCGGCTCCGTCCATTGCGCACCTGGCTGCGCCCGCCTGCGCCCGCCCCTGACTTGAAGTGCTCTCGGAGTGCGTGGCGTGCCCGCCTTTTGGCCCAAGCTCCCAGCCGAAGGCGCCCTGCACCTTCAGCTCAGCCTGGATGCGCCATGCACCTCCCTACAGCGGTAGCGGCATCTATCGGTGCGGCACCACGCCTGTTAGCACGGCCAACCCATCCCTCGGCAACCTGCGATGAGCCCTTTAAATTGTCTTGGAGGCAGGAGCTGCGGTAGCTTGCTTACGAAGTTGCTTACGAAGCCCTTTGCGAGGCCCCGCTTCCATGTTGCGTGCTCGGGGCTCCTCTGCGTCGGCTCTTAAGCCAAAGTGTGGCCGAAGTCAAATGAAGTGTAATAGCCGCCGGCACCACTGACCCGAAGAGAGATGCACTTAGCAACGCAAGCACGTAGTTGCAGCCAAAGAGGCTCTCAGTTTAAAGTGGCGCCGTAGCTCGGGCAGCGCGCGTTGCAAGGAGCCTGCCCGCAGTCCAAGCACATTGGACCATTGGAGGGCGGCGGCTTCCGGCATGCGTTGCATGCCGAAAAGTCTGAGACGTGCGCGCGCTGTGCAGTCGGCCACCAGACGCCGCTTGCAACGGCCATCGGCGTGGCTGAAACCTTCAAGCTCGCCTTGACCATGCTCCGGAGATTTTCTTAGCAAAGGCCAGCCCGAAAGCATTGATCAATTGACCAGAGAAACTGACAGTGGTGCCAACAGGCGCCAACGGCGCCAACCATCAACAGAATGCCAGGAGGGCCGTGCTTTAACACAATACCGACACTCATTTCGGAACTGTGAAAGCGACAGCGAGCAGCCATAGCAAGCCGCAGCAAGTTGCGACTCGCTATGCCACTTTTCACACCCTCTGCCCTGCGCTGACAGGCTGGGTCAATGCTCAGTGCTATGAGCCGACCTCCTTTTTGGCTCGCAGCAGTGGAGAATGTCTGGTTGTTTTGTCGTTCTTGATGCAAAAGTGCCGCTACCCCTGCATTGTACGTGTCTTGTCGGAAGGACGTTTCTGGGTTCTGCTACCATTCTGACAGCCGAAATGTGCACGACAAGGAAAGGTCAACTTGGATCAAGCATAGTTTGAGGTGGCCTCGCACAAGGGCTCGTTCAGAGCACCATCATCCCATGTCGCTGGCAACGCCGACGTCGTGGCATGCCCCCGGAAATTTGCTTAGCAAAGACGGCTTGACGGCCTGCCCGAAAGGATTGACAACAGCCAGCCCCAACCTCCGTCTTAAGAGTCCGCAGCTTGCGACATTGGAGCGACATTAACGCAGTGGAGGATTTCTGGTGCCAATTCGTTGATCACCACGCAACAGAGCAAAGCGAGCACCTTTGCGTTTGTATGTGTTTTGGCCTTGCTGGGGCGTTCATTGCTTGTGCTGCCAGAAACAGCAGTTCGATGAAGACTTGTGACCATACCCATGCGCATGACAGGGAAAGGTCAGAAAGGTTCAGTGGCCATAGCGCGGTTCGTTCCACACAGCGCAATCATCCCATGCACACAATTCCGAATCACCCCGTCGTAGGGGGCCGGGAAATTCTGTCCCATCATGGCCGGACTCACAGGCGTGTTCCCTATAGTATAGTTCCTTTCGCATCTGCCTTGCGGATTTCATCAAGCACAACTTTGAGGGAGCTTTGAGCAAGACTGAGCGAATGGCGCAAATGTCCATAAGTGTGTAGAGGTCTTGCAGGCCAATCCCTCGCACACTTCCCGAAGCTAGACGACCTTTGGGTGATGTGGGCGAGGAGGACGACAGTCGCTTGAGCTCTCAGCATGGCTTTGTTTGCCGGATGGTTTCAACACATCCACGGTGGTTGCGCTCCGATTGCAAGCATTCGTGTAGAGCGCGAGCAGGTTGATCACGACTGTGCCATACAAACCTCAGCAGCTCGCTACAGGGGGCTGAGGACGGGACTGGCAACTGTCAGCGTTTGCTTGTGGCTGCTCCGCGTTGCTGCCTTGGGCATCAGGGTTCCTGGCCGCAGGCCCCGCGCTTCTTCTGAGTCGCCCACGGACGGCTGACTGCTCCGAGATCCTCTCTTCAAAAGCCTTGAGCGCTTCACAGTTGTGCTGCGTGTTCCTCGGGGGTCATGTTGGGCCCACAAAGATCCCTCGGAATGATGGGAGCCCACCTTCTGCGAGAGTTCTGAAAGACCCGGAGCTAGAGACAGCACTTCCTTCCGAACCGGGGGAGTTTGCTTCGCAAGGACGTGCCTGTGTCCTCTTGGCAATGCTCATTACGAGTCTTGGGGAGGCCAGAACATGTCCTCAAGCTAGACGACCGCGCTGGGCGACATGGGTGGTTCGGATGACCGTCCACCTGAGCTCTCAGCAAAGCTTTGCTTGCCGGATGGTCTCAGCTCGACCGACTGAAGTTGACATCCGCAGTGCTCCGATGGGAAGGTGCGCAGCATTGCCGGTTGATTGTGCCATGCAGAGTTCGGGAGCTTGCGAAAGAGAACCGAGGGCAGGTTTAGCGAGAATCTGTGTAATTTCCTTTTGGCAGCTCCACGTTGCCGCCTTGGCCAGCACGGTTCCCGCCAAAACATCAGCACGGCGGCACTTCTGAGTGGCCCGGTACCGGCCTCTATCACGATTGACGGGACTTCTGGAACTAAACAGAGGCGCTGCAGTTGCATCGAAGCTTTGACGGCGATGCCCCGAAGCCCGAAAAGCTGTCTGAAACCCAGAGATACTTAGGAGGCTTAGGGCTTGGCAGCTGGCGCTGCGCTCCAGCCCTATGCGCAATAAGGAGCCCAAAGCCCAGATAACTTGCGCCACTGTGCTAGGCTTACCCGAAATGCCCAAAAGCTTCAGAGGAACAGCTGCCAAAAACCGATGGGAAGGTTCGCAGCATGCGCCGGTTGATTGTGCCACGCAGAGTTCGGGAGCTTGCGAAAGAGAACCGAGGGCAGGTTTAGCGAGAATCTGTGTGATTTTCTTTTGGCAGCTCCACGTTGCTGCCTTGGCCAGCACGGTTCCCGCCACAACATCAGCACGGCGGCACTTCTGAGTGGCCCGGTACCGGCCTCTATCACGATTGACGGGGCTTCTGGAATTAAGCCGAGGCGCTGCTTTTGCACTGAAGTTTGGACGGCGCCCCGAAGCCCGGGAATGCGGTTTGAAACCCAGAGATACTTAGGAGGCTTAGGGCTTGGCAGCGAGCGCTGCGCTCCTGGGAGCAACGACGGGCCCTATAAAGGATTGACTACCTTCCGTTTTGGCCTACAGGAGCAGGAGCCACAGGAGCCGCAGGAGCCACAAGAGCCACAAGAGCCGCAGCCCGGGGGGCTCTCCGCCCAGGCCTTGTTCGCCACGATGAGCAATACCACCGTGAGCACCCTCCTTTCCGCACGTGTCGTGGAAACGGCGCAAGGATGTGCCTTAGGTGCCTTGGCCTTTCTGCCAGCATAACAGTGCGATCCGGTGCGATGACAACTTAAGCACCCATCACAGTTCTCGCGCGCATGACACGGGGAAGGCCGGAGCTCACACGCTCTTCCCCATGCTCGGGCACTCCGCAAAGCTGTTGATTTGTTGCCGTTCCGCACCGCCAAGTCGTGCGGCACCGCCAAGTTGTGCCAGAACCCACACAGGGCCGGGAGCTCTGTGCTTCGCTTGCGGCGCGTCTGAGCTGGGATGGTTCAGGCGTCGCGAAGACAGCTCCTGCTGTTTTTGTCCGATAGCTCTTTTCTTTGTTTTTCTCTGAAGGGGATGTCCCCAATTCCCGAGACTTTACAGTACTAAGTTCCCTGAGTTCTTGGCCCAGCCGATGGCAAACCTCTAGGTTCTACCAAAGAGTTGCACAGCATGCTCCTTGGGAAGCACGTGGGCGAAAGGAGGAGATTCATCGGCCCGTCGTCACTCGCAAGCCTTCGGCCTCGAAATGAAGTTGGGAGCTCGATTTCTGCTTGGCACATCGTCTTGAAAGATCCAGAGCCAGGGACAGCAGTTTGCGATGCGCTGGCGCGCCACGACAGCTTGAGCAAGCGATTCGCAGCATTGTCCAAGAGAGCAACTTTGGTAGCGTTGGCTCCCGGCACGGGCAAATCTACCCTGACTGTCCTGCTCAACGAGGCGCTGGCAAGAAAAGTAGACCCAATGCAATTTGTCGAGCTTCACATCGGAAGATTGCCGAAGTCTGTGCACTACACGGCCCTGGCTTTGAGAGAAGCTCTGGGGTTCAAAGCTCCTGTTTGTGAGTACTTCGCGGATTCCGATGTGGTGCTTGAGTCGCTTGACCCACGCTGGAGACCCCGTGCAGAAAAGCTGATGGCGATCGCTGAGACGTCAGGGCGGATGCCTCCAGGAGCATATGAGGAGCTCATCTTGGACTTCTGGGAGCAGGTTGATCCTGCGGAGCTCCCGCAGGTCCTGCTCATGAACAATTACGGGTGTGAGGAGGCCCCGTGGTTCACACTCCGTGCCAAACTGCCGCTCAAAGAAATGGAAAGTCGGTGGAGAGGCAGAATCTCATCGGAACTGAGTGATGCTGAGGCGGAAAAGGCGACTCGCAGCTGCCGTTTTGGGTGGCACGACATGATCGGGGAAGTCCTCGAGTTCCCTGAGATTGTACAGGCATTAGTTTGCTTGGCAACGACCCCTACTGCCTTCCGTCTTGGCTTGCCACAGGAGCCGCAAGAGCCGCAGCCCGGGGGGCTCTCCGCCCAGGCCTTGTTCGCCACAATGAGCAATACCACCGTGAGCACCCTCCTTTCCGCACGTGTCGTGGAAACGGCGCAAGGATGTGCCTTAGGTGCCTTGGCCTTTCTGCCAGCATAACAGTGCGATCCGGTGCGATGACAACTTAAGCACCCATCACAGTTCTCGCGCGCATGACACAGGGAAGGCCGGAGCTCACACGCTCTTCCCCATGCTCGGGCACTCCGCAAAGCTTTTGGTTTGTTGCCGGACTCTGTCAGCTCGACCGGAAGTTGACATCCGCGGCAGTTGCGTAAAGGGCAGGGTTTCGCATAGAGCCTGCGCAGGTTGATTGTGCCATACAAAGCTGAGCAGCTTGTGGGAGAAGATGTTGGAGCCACAGTCACGTGCTGGATTCTTCCAGAAAGCTGCCCAGAATCCGAATGAGCAAAACCGGCGTGAGCACCCTTGCTTATTATGTATGTGCCTAGGTGGGGCGCTGTCGTGCTGTGGTCTTCCTGCCAGCGTCACAGGTCGCTGATGTCTTGTGTCAACACCCATCGCGATGCTCGCTCACAGAAATCAAGTGCCCGCACGCAATTCCTGAAGCTAGAAAACCGCTTTGAGTGATGGGGCCGAGAAGGACGCCCGTCTATGTGGGCTCCCAGCCAGGCTTTGTCTCAGCAACTCCTCGGTGGTTGCCTTGACGGGACGCACGAGCGCAGAGTGTGCGCAGGTTGATTGCGCCATACAGAGTCACAGAGTACAGCGGCTCCCGGAATTTGTCGGAGGGTCTCAGCTCAACCTGAACTTGGCATCCACACTGTGATGGCAGGTGCGGCGGGCCCAGCCCAGAACGGAGGCGATGAAGAGCAGCTCCGCCTTAGCAAGGCAGCTCGGCGGCGATCTAAGTTGAGCCTAAGCCTTTTCTTCAAGATGCCTCGAGCAAAGTAGGAGTAGGGGTGCCACCAACACATGTTGGCTGTTGCCTTTGGTCAGTTGCCGCGGTCCGATTTGGCCCCTGAGTGTTGAGTGTCCCGGAACGCTCAAGCCATGGCCACTGAAGCAACAGGTTTGAGCCCACAGCGAAGCTCTCCCGTGCACTTTTTCTCTCAGGAATGCCTGGAGGATGCTGCTACGTGCTGCAATTCGGGCATCGTCAAGCACCTCATTCCTTCACTTGCCAGGCCTCAGCCGCCGCAGCTGCCAGTCAACGAAGTAGTAACTAAGCCATGGGCGCTTTAGCCAGCGAAGCTATAGGCAGCTGAGAAGGCTGGGAAATCGCGACATGCACGATGCGTGAGCAGACGTTGCAAAGGGCTTCAGCGGCTCAAGCTCGATCTCTGACCCTGTCTCGCCCTCACCATGCTACCACATCTCGCCCCGGCGGCTGCTTGTTGAACTCCACGCGGGTTCTGCAAGGAATTCGCCGACAGAGCTCCCGGCGCAATCTGCGGAGCTTCGAGAGGCCTCAGCACCTGTTGCTGCGGCCCCCCTTAAAGCGGGCCGCCGCTGTGAGCTTCAAATTGTGAAGGCTTCGTTTGCCAGGCCGGTCGCCGGAGCTGCGAGCCAACTATAAGGAACTAAGCCCTCGCCCGCCACAGCGCCATAGCGCCATAGCTGGGGCTGAGAAGATGCACCTGAGCACTCAGGCCGCGCGAGCCGAAGTTGGAAAGGGCTCAAAGGGCTCAAAGGGCTCAAGCTCTGGCAGCGCCTCGCTATGTCTTGCCACACCAGCTCGTTGAACTGCACTCGGCACGGTCTGCGACCCATTCGTCAGCGGAACTCCCTGCGCAAATTGTGGAGCTAGAGGGCGGCGCGAATGAGCTGGAGCTTCTAGTGCTCGGAACCGCAAGAGGGTTCAGCCGGCTTAGCGTTCATTACGTAGCCGCCACCCTCGTCGAATTGCGGAGCTTGCAGAAGCCACAGCGGCTGCGAAGCCAGATAAGACCAGCCGCCCCTTGAGCTGGCAAGTCCCGACAGCGGCAGGCAAGAAACCACGGCAGCTCCAACCTGAGTGGGATCAAAGGCGCAAGGAGATGCAGGGGTGCAGTCAGCGGGCCTTGCTCTCAACTCTAAACACAGCCGTGCCGACATGCCGCTGAGACGTGCTGGGATACCGGGCAAGCGCCAAATGAGCTGTGGCCCAAGGATCAAGCGCTGCACGTGTTGCCGTCCTATAGGCTGGAGGCACCTGTCCAAAAGCTGAGCGTCACTCGCCTGCTCGTTCTGCGAGGCTTCTCGCGCCGACTAGGCAGAGAACATGGTTGCCCCGGCTTGCGTGGTCAGGCCGACCCGGCTCGCAGGTCAGGGCTCGCACAGCCCGGGCCGAGGATGTTGCGCGCTGCTGCCTTGCGCATCGCATGCGCTGCTCCTCCGGGCTTTCCTTTCTTGATGACCAGAGGTCCACCTCGCCATCCACTCAGCCGAACGCAGGTCATCGCGGGACCTTGAGACAGCCTCTGCGATAGTCCCGCGGGGCCGCCGTTGTGCCAAGCACAGGCTGCCCCAAAGTAGCAGCACTTGAGTTGAGCGCTCGTCCAATGCCAGCTGCGAGTGCCAAGGCACGTCCAGGCGCAGCCGCGCAGGTGCGCGTTGTGGCGGAGCGGTTTGCTTGGATTCGGAGTTTGCGACCCGGTGCTTCACAGCCGCGGCCTTGAATTGTGACGCTGCCTGTGCTGGTGCTTGAGGCACCTAGAGTTCACCACTTTCGCAGCATCTTCACCGCAGCTGTTTGGTCCGATGGCATCCAGGAGGGCGGAGCGATACGCTGCACCGTGCCCTCGCCGGGCGCGCATCCGCAGGCAGCACACCCATTTTGGCATGACCGCTTGAGCCACTTGTCGGCATGTTTCGATGTGAGGCGGCCAGAGCAGAATTCAAGAGGTCCGAGCCTGGCAGGTTTCGGCGTTGTCCGAACTCCATGCCCTCGTCCCGAGGTTTCTGGGCCCGCGCTTGTACTTGGCCCACGGCATTCCGACACAGCGCTGCTGTCTGTAACGTATACGTGTTCATAGTGTCACGCTCTGCACAAGCCGCACAGCCGGCTGCCATAGGCTGCAGGATGCCATGCCCCCTGCCCGTTTGAGTCTCCGGCGGAGTGGGGCAAGCAGCCCAGGTTTCTAAAGAGGCGGGCTGTTCTGAGCATGCCCCGCTGGCTGCGAGGCGACCAGCACAACACTGTGAGCCACATTGTGTCAGCACGCCACTGCGCGTGAGTGCGCCACGTGGGCAGTCGTTCCGTGACATCGTCGAGCACGACGACGGCCAGATGGCCGGATGGGTGCCGCATCTTATCTGCCCTTCCTCCGGCCCGGATGCCGGCAACTTGGTGATGCGCTGGCCTTGACCACAGCTCCGCTTCTTCCGAAGATTCTGCTTCGGCCGACCTCCTTAGGAGTGGTGCCTCAGAGCCTCAGGGACGTGCTCTGTGCAGTTTGCGTGTTTGCACACCCTGTCTGAAGGGGGTTTCTCCGTGCCAGTGCTGCTATCAGTGTGGGTTGCAGCATCGGGCGCCATGTGCTCTGCTATAGCGCTGCGCTAGCGCGCCCTGCCGTAGCAACTCAAGTATTACAATCAGTTCAGATTCGCTTCGTCAGGAGACCTGGTGCCAAATCAGAGCCTAGCGCAGGGTGCGTCTCGAGCCTTGGCAAGCCCCTCAACTCCATGACCGCCTGCTTCACAGGACGCAGCTTGAGCGGCTGCACGACGGCAAGGCCGTCAAGGCCTTGGTCAGGGGCACCTCGGGCCAGCCAGCGGTCGCCGGATGAATTGCAGTTGCCTCATACTCATGACTCCCCACTGTGCCGCGATGCGGTGTGCGGCTCCCTGTACTCCTTGTGCGAAGCCTTCAGTTGCAGGGCACAGATCCCAAGGATTGTTCCCCGGTGTTTTCTGGAAAGGCGCTCTTTCCACGTGATCAGAAGTGAAAGACAGGTCGCTTCTCAGTCCACTTGCAATGCTTCAGCTGTAAGCCATATGCCCTAAGGGACCGAAGCCATGGTGATGGACGATGAGAGCCTCACACCAGCTTTGCCGTGGCACTGTCCGAGCAACCTCTTGCAAGTTCCTTGACCTGGCCCAGGTGCATCATGCTCATGTCCTCCGACCTTAAGATGAGCAGTAAACGGTAAACCTTGCGGCCGCGTCCTCCAACCTCCAACCAGTCCTCGCGATGAATCTTGCATGTCGAAAAAGGGGATGGACGTGCGTCCCATGGTTACTCCCTGATAGGCACCGATACGTTCTATGACCTGATGAAAGTACATTATAAAGTAAGTATACATCCATAGATGGTTGCCTCTGCGGCAGCCCGCTCTCCTCCTCTGGGCTTTGCTTGGGGGCTTTGCCGGGGATTCCAGAAATTTACAAGACTTTCCTCAAAAAGCCCTGGAATCTTGGGAATCCCCGGATCCAATAATTCCTGGAATTCTTGGGAATGAATTAGCATTCACGTTTCAGCGAATCAGCTAGCCAGAAGCCCTTTATGGAAGTACATTGGCGGCCAGATCCTCTCTCTGCCCCCTTCCCCGTCTCAATCTGCGTTTGTGTTTGTCTGGCTTCTCTCTATCCATAATCTATCAATCTCATTCTATCTCTTTATCTCTCCATTTCTCCGTCTCTCTGTTTAAATCTCTTGTACATCTCTTTGAAGATTTCTCTATATATCTTATTGAATTTCTCTATAGATATCTCTTGAAATATAATATGATTCATGTCATGGAAGATGGAAGTATCTTATTTTAATTACTTATTTCTTCTATTTATCGGCTTGTTTGATATATTTTCTTTTTCTTTGTATCGCCTTGGATATAGCATCAATTAATCATATGAACGCCTGCTAAAATTATATTTCTTGAAGCCAGTACTACGGCGGACATGAATTGTTGCGAATATCCCCATAAAAGGCTACGGGCTCGACCCCTATTTTCGCTCTGCGGCCGCCCTGTCGGATGCCCCGCCTCCTCTTCCGGTCCATTTGGCTGCTTGTGAGGGCCTTGCAGGGGAATCCTGAAAATTCCGGGAATTTTAACCCTTTTTGTCTAAAAATCCTGGGAATTTTGGGAATTACCCGGAGCTGAAAATTCCGGGAATTTTAGGAATTGTCCGGATTGAGGTTTGGGCTTTCCGGGTTGGATTTT